CTCCCCCCGCCAACAAGCCTGGCCGCCCCGCCGGCTCCAGCAAAGCCACCTTTGTCATCTGTGAGATCTGTGACGGATATATCAAGGTACTTCCCTCTAAAGAGATTATATCAAACTTGCACATAGTGTTGTAGAATCCAGAGTCTGCATTGATGACTGCCTGGGTTTCAGTGTTGTCAAAGACCCTGGATCAAAAAATTCCCAGGGCTATTTCTCTCAATTTTAACCCTTTCTCTTCTGAGGAATGACTAATGGATTGAACAACATGATTTAATCCATGTAATTGATTGTTTTTAAAATGTATACACATCAAGCTTTTTTGAAAGCTTTGTGGTTAATGGTTAACACAATCAAAGGCCTTGGAAAGAACACAGAAGATCCCCATGGTACTCTGTGATACATCCAGAGCCAATAAATCCAAATTGCTCAGCAGCTAGAATGAGTGTGCCTCTAAAAATATTGAAATTTGATTTTAGTGCTACATTTTCAAAAAAATTGGAAAAGAAGGAAGATGCGAAATGGGACCATAGTTATATGGATTTTTTCTGACCTTTCTGGAAAAGAGAATTTACCCCTGTATATTTTCAATTTTCAGGAAAAACTTAAATTTTGAAAGATAGATTTATTAAAACTACATAGGAACAGCAATAGAGTTTTTCATAATGTCCAACAGTATCAGATGACGATATTTGCTAAAAATTAAGTGCTTAATCGTGACACAAAATGTCAACAGGACCTGGAGCAGTTGAGGAACCACATGCAGTGGATACACAAAGTGAAGATACATCCCAAGATGATCTACAACCGACCGCCACTCAATTGTCAGAAGTGTCAGTTCCGATTCTTCACGGACCAAGGACTAGAGAGACATCTACTGGGCAGTCATGGTCTGGTCACCAGTAGTATGCAGGAAGCAGCTAACAAGGGCAAGGACGGAGGCCGCTGTCCCGTCTGTGGCAGGGTGAGTCATGTACACCAAACAGACAATTTGGCTAAGTAAATATCTTAATGAGAATGTAGACCACAATGGCCTAGGTTTTTATTTTCCTTAATTTATGAATTTAAAAGTTACGATAAACTACCTGTTGGGATTGAGACTACCAATCACTCCATTAACAAGTATGAATAGAAAAATGCTGTGTTGCTTCGAATCGAGTTGCATCGATTCTAATCAAAAACTTTTAAATCGAATCGTTGCTTTGAATTGAAAACTTTTTACTGCTTCGCACACCCTTAAATTTGATACTGGATTTTCTTGGCACATGATTTGTTCCGATCGTCGGTGATTTCGCCGCGTCATGAGTGACGACATATGTTAACCTTTCAGAGGGCGCATTGGTTTTCAAAACGGGAGAGGGCGCACCCGGAGGTTACTTCCAGGTCAATAAAAACAAACATTTATGAAGTAAAATTTGTACTTTAGTGCACAAATTAAGTTTTATTTTTAATTTTTAACATCAAAAATGCGTTTAGTGAAATCTTAATTATAAAATAACGAAATTTAGATAAACTATTATTCTATCAAATGTTCTAACATAAAAGTATATGAAGAAATCTTTTACAAGAATATATTCAAGAAGTTAATTTAAATTTTACCACAATGTCCTATAATGTGGTTTTAGATGATAACACTCTCAATACCTGATGTTTTAAGTAATTTAACATAATGGGTATCTTAATACTAAATGACTCTGTACATACGTAGTTCGTGAATCTCACTTTCAGCACGGCTAAGAGTGTTGCAATTCGAAATTTTAACTTCTTCACTCATCTTGTAAGAACTATATATTTACTAAATAATGCCATGAATCGTAAAAAAAATAATAATTTACAGTAGGCCTAATTGTTTGCATGCAATAATCAACGCACACACTAAACTAAAGGTCAAATCACGGATGTTGCCTCCAGGCTGTATAAGAATCGGCAGAGCGCACACGGAAGTTACTTCCAGCCTCTTACAAAACTGAATAAAACTAACAAATATTAAATAGTAGGGGTGAGTTTTGACCTTCACTCGATTCTAGGATTGAGGTGCGTATGGTACAGTGACACTCACACTGCCGACACCACTCAAAATAATATAATCGCGAAAAATAAAACATCCCTGGAGGTTACTTCCGTGATGCGACCTCTGGAAAGTTAACAAAGGTACCGTGACCACGAAACGAAAAAGGTGTAGAAAGATGGAGAATGGACCAAGTTTTGGTCGGGATTAAAAACAAATTGTAATGAAAAGTCGGGAATTCCATTTGAGAAATCTAGTAGACACCCTGTTGCACGAAAATGCTTCAAAACATTAAATATTTTATACATTGTCTGTCTGGCGCAGGTTTACCAGTGGAAGTTGCTGAACCACGTGGCCAGGGACCACAATATGTCGCTGAAACCGGCGCATCTGTCATACAAGTGCACCGTGTGTACAGCCACGTTCGGCATGTACAAGCAGTTTGAGAACCACGTGTACTCGGCTCACAGTGTGGTGGCCAAGCGAGTCATGGACAAGAAGCCTTCGTCGTCCAGTCAGCCCTCGACCAGCTCCCAGGTGTGTACCTCACGACCTTTGACAATTACATTCCACCAACATAATTATCAAATTAAGCTGTCACCTATTTTGAATCAGAATTGATTACGTAGTTGAATTTAGCCACTGACATAGTATATTACTGGTTTCTTTCAAATACACATAAACTGTTTATAAACAGAAAACTCATAATATGACTTACTGTAAGCTACAGCCTCTTTGAAATCACATTAACTCTTTCAGAAACAAAATATTAGTTGGGCCAGTATACTGTAGCCACACTGTGGGAATGGTTCTTTCAACTGTTGTTTTTTTTATAACTAATTTTAAAAAAGTCATAAATTTGGCCCAAATTGATGGGATGTTGACTTCAGTACTTTAAAGTCAATGGTTATAAGTATTTTGAATGGTTTGGTTAAAATTTCTTTTCTTGCAGGGTGATATGCTAAAACCACTGAAGATTAATGATGAAATCACGATAATCCCTCAACCTGCTAGGTCTAAGACAAAACCTGCCGGATCTAACAATCGCCCACAGAAAAAGGTGAGTTCTTTCAATTGTTAGCTGTATCTTAAATGTGAAATGTCAGTTTCAAAAATATGCATTTTGGCTAATTGAAAGGTCGGCCTTTTTTTTGAAAGCATATAAAAAATTAAACTATCTACTTTAAAGGGACATTATGACAGAATGACCCAAATTTATTCTGTAATTGGACAGAATATTTCTGCATCACCAATACTTGTAAAGTTTATAAAGTTTGACATTACAGATTTTCCATTCAATACCTAGAGATTACGTCTAACGCTGCATTTTACTCATATTTTTTGTTTGGCTAGGTCAAAATCTATGAACCATGTATTGTTTTGCAAGGACAGATAACTTACCCACAAACATTAATTATAAATGTTTATGAACACTTTGCCCTATCACTAAACGATTCAATCTGTTTGTTTCAGGTGTAAACTTCCCCCGATCTACACTTAGTGTGTCGTCCGCTGTAGTTAATTATTATATTACTATAAGTCGTTTTCTTTATTTAGAAAGGTTTTTATATATTTTGAGTTTGTCAAATGTAAAATTTTCGTATACCGTAACTTGTACATAGCACACTTTAGAGAATGACTGTCGGAGGTGCGGTGTGTGTGTCATGACCCGTGTATAAAGCTGATGTATAGATATTCACGAGATTTGTAATTTTGTATCAGGGGGTTTGGCTCTTGGTGCCTGAGCTCTGCTTTTTGGCAGTTTTCTCTACGTCATGATTAAGCCAGTGACCTTTTTAATTTTGACGGTTATTTGTATATAAGTTTGATATTGAATGTGGGTTGATGATATTTTATTGGTAGATAAGCTATTCTCTGTTCTCGCCGAGCGGAACAGTTTTTAAATTTCCCTTGTGTATAATTTATTCCGTAATAATTACTCCGAGAAATTCCAAAGTGTGAGACTTGACTTTATAAGTACAGTATCATGTGAATAATGGGTCTATTGATATAACAATGTTCCATGAATAAATATTTTGTTCCAATTAGATTTTTTCTATTCCTGGTTTTCTCAGTTTACTAGAGATAAATGAGATTATTCCGCAATGTTAAATTACAAGTAACTAGGATCTACATTGTAAACAGATACTATTTTACCTACGACTGTTTTAAATTTTAAGTATAAATTTATATTTTCATAAATAACCAAAATCTATCTTTAAATTGTTGGTAAAATGTGTTTTACTTTATTGTCCATTTACAGTTGTATATTTATTTTGTCCATTTGAAACAATATTTATAGGTACATTATGGAGTACCTAAATATACATGTATATAAAAAATGTTTTTATTCCTTAATTCATGACTCAATCAGATCCTCAAATAGTTCATATTTCATGTGCGGGGTGGATTCAAAATTACATGACACAGTTTAATTAATGTATTTTTGATAATTCAATAACTACTAATGGTGCATTTAGAAAAAAAGTAATAGAATTTTAGAACAAAATACAACATTTTTTTAAACAGGTTGTTTTGGGAGCTGCAGTGACCTTTAATTAACTAATTTCAGTTTTCTTTCTTCTCCCTTCTGATGAAGTCCCTAACTGGGACGAAATATTAAGTTTTTCTGTGTTGTGTCATGTGTTTTATGTGTAATCAAGGCTAATCTGGACTCTACCTACCAGGTAAGCTAGCTGATCCCTATCCTTGTACATAATAATCCTTTAATTAACTAAACTAACACATTTTAGTATTTTTTTAGGTTTGGTGTAAATTGAACAAAACTTCTATTTCCTTATCAGCTACTTGGCTAAAAATTTATTTTCTTGAAATTCAGAATTTTTTTTTAATTGTGTGCTTTTAAAATGTAACCAAAACAGCAGAGTTTCTTTCTTGTAGCAAACCTGTACTATTTGAGCCAATGTTACAGTGATATGGGTGTGAAGAACCCTGTCAGTTAGGGTTAGAAATTAGAAACATAACATCAGAGAAAGTTCAGCAATACTGTACTTTATTTAAAATTTTTTACTTCTTAAATTGATTAAATATACACAGTAAGACAGTAACACAGAAGTTTACAACATTCACAACTTGGGGCAGAGCCAGTCACCGAAGTAGCGTACATCGGTAAACACACTCGGTGCGCTGAGCTCGCAAGAGCTGAGTCCTAGGGAGACGATGCCTTGTTGGACGAGATTACCTGAACCGTCGGTCTGTACTAGCGGACCGCCACTGTCTCCCTGTCACAGAAAGTTTAGCCATAAGTTAGCTTACATCGGTAAACACACTCGGTGCACTGAGCTCGCAAGAGCTGAGTCCTAGGGAGACGATGCCTTGTTGGACGAGATTACCTGAACCGTCGGTCTGTACTAGCGGACCGCCACTGTCTCCCTGTCATAGGTTTATGATTAAAATTCATAGATTTAGTAAATATTATAATTATATGGGTATCCAATTGGTTACAGTGCTTTCCTTTATGAAGGGGGTTGGTTTTTATTTTCAAGCAAGAATGTTTTCAGAGCTAGATGCCAAATTTGTTGTTTGGCTATCAATCCGTGCCTATGCTATCAATCTAGATGCTATCTACCAAAAGGCTGACATAAGATAATAACTAGGGCAGAGTGTGGACTGTTCCTATACAAAAAAACTTTTAAAATACTAACGGCCTTCTTGATACACATACAAAATAAAATAAAAATATAAGTAGTGATCCCACCCTGTGATGACAAGAGCTGCCCCAATAAGTGAAAAGTAACCTGAGGTTTGCTCAATGCTAGGAGAAGTCCCAAGTCAAAAATTTGTTTTAAAGCCAATTTGGACTTCTGCAGTCATAATATTAGGGAAAAGTTATAAAAATAGGTGTCATTCAATCTCTAAATAATTCAAAAAGGGTTCTTTACTACTATCTATTTTAAAATAATAGTAAATGGGTCTGTTGAACACCTTGGCTCTGCTATTTCCACTTACATTACAAGTGCTCTTCCCCCCAGCTCCACTAGTGCACAGTTGACTCTCTATGACGTCGTATTTAGCCACTGTCTTGAAAAAAGTAGTGCAAGAGTCTTGAGGCTCCCCTGACACTACAACGTACATCAGCTTCGATGTTGTCTTTTCTAAACGGAAAACCATTATTCAACTTGACATAAATACTTTTGTCTGATAAGAATATTTGACTTTTTACTGCTTCTCATGTAGGGATTGTTAAAGACTTTTTCATGGACGAAAAATTTTTGTTTATTGGTTATACAAAATGAATGATTATAAGAAGGAAGAACACAATTAACACACGTAACTTTAGGGAGGCCCAGGCAGTTGTAGCACAGTTGACAGCACAATTAATTTACTTGATGTTTCATCCCTACAATTGTCAGAAGGGAATAATTTTCTGTGCTATCGAATCAACTGCTTAGAACTTTTCTTGGTCGAGTTAACATGATTCCTTAATCGTTCAACAAAGACAAAATACTTTCTCCTTCTAAAATCATAATCTATTTAAATAAGACACCCCAAATTACTTACATTTTTGCTTTAATATTCTCACATATTGTAAACTGTGGGAAGATTGAAAATGTATCCCTTATTCATTGCTAGTGTATTTTCCTCATGTAACTACATGCACTAGGATTTATTAGTTGAAAATGCGAGACGTAGGAATTGGCTAACTCAGGAACTCGCTAACTCGGTCGTGTGGCGGAACTGGCTAACTCTGGAACTGGCTAACCGTCTCAGTCAGGAATTGGCTAACTCCGGAACCCGCTAACTCGATTTTGTCTCGCGGCGGAATTCGCTAACTCTGGAAGTCGCTAACCCGGCCGCGCCCACTGCTCGGAGCGGTGCCAACCTTGTACGACAAAATAAATAAATAAATAAATAAATAAATATATCTTTATTGTCACATAAACGTTTTACAGATTACATAGCATAAGCTACAAAAACAGGTGACATTGTCAATATAATCATATATCATAATAAGTACCTAAAATACTAAAAAATAAACAATGATTCTTACAAATAATTATTTGGGTTATTTTATAAAACATAACATTTGCTAATTTAAAAAATTACCATCATTCAAAAATTCGTCAATACTATAATATATTTTGTTTACAAGAAATGAGGCAAGGCTGCTTTTAAAAGACGTTTTGTTTATTAAATCTTTATATTTTGGTTGCAGTTTATTAAACAATTTCTTTCCCATATATTTTGGTGTTTTTTCTATTAATTTTAATCGGTGAATCGGAAACTGAAAATTCTTTTTGAAACGGGTGTTATATTGATGGTCAAAATTCTCCGCACATAAGTTTTCAAAATTTGACTGTACCATTAATAAGGATTTAAAAATGATTAAACTTGGTACAGTCATTATATTAAGTTCTTTAAAAATTGGTCTACATGATTGTTTTCGTTTAGCAAATGTCATTATTCTTAAGTATTTTTTCTGAACTTTAAAAATCTTTTCTATTTCTGATGAGAATCCCCAAAATTCAATCCCATAATGCAATATTGAATAAAAATAGGCATAATATATCATTAAACGTGTTTTCATATCCAAAATATTTCTCAAACAAAGCATTTGGAAACAGGCAGAATTAAGCTTATGTAATATGTTTTCAATGCACTTGGCCCAGGTTAAATTTGAATCAACATACAAACCTAAAAATTTTGTACATTTGACAGTTTTGGTTCTTGTTTTATGTGTGAAATTTCGGGATTGTATCGTATTAAATTTTACTAGTTGTGTTTTTTCTGGATTTAATTTTAGTCCGTTTATTTCAAACCACCTTCTAAGATCCATTAAAGCGTCTTCTACTTTCACCCATAAATCATCCTCCGTTTTAGCTTTAACAACAGCAGTTGTGTCATCTGCATACAGTATTAAATTATGAGCAATATTTTCAGGTAAGTCATTTATATAAATTAAGAAAAGAAGAGGACCTAAAATAGAGCCCTGTGGGACACCTACTCTAATTTCACTCCATTCAGATTTTGACTGCAAGCCTCCTTTTAAAATAACAGTTCTTTGAAATCTACCTGTTATATAAGATTTCAACCATAAAATTGATTTCTTAGAAAATCCATAAATTTCCAGTTTTTTCAAAAGAATGTCATGGTTGACACAATCAAAAGCCTTGGATAAATCACAAAACACCCCCATTGTACTCTGTGACTCATCCAAGGCCCATGACACTTCATTAACAAAATGGGATATAGCGGTCATTGTGCTGCAACCCTTTCTAAAACCAAACTGTTTACTACTAAATATATTGTATGTTTCCAAGAAATTATAAATTTGTTTATAAGCAATTTTTTCAAAAATCTTGGAAAAAGAAGGTAAAAGTGATACAGGCCTATAATTGTCAGGATTATGCTTTTCACCTTTCTTAAAAAGTGGCTTGAGTTCTCCATATTTAAATTGTTTAGGAAATATGTTGTTTTGAAATGATTGGTTAATAATAATTGTGAGAGGTTCTGAAATAGAGTCTATGACTTTTTTCATGAGATCCACCGAAATTTCATCCCATCCCGCAGATTTTTTATTTTTAAGTGATTTGATTACTTTGACTACATCTTTTTGCTCAATGGCTTTAAAATCAAAATTAAATAGTTGTTTACTAGTCATTAAGTTCCTTGTCATATTTAGTGCCTCAAATTCACATGGTGATGTTCCCATTTCCTTGGTTATATTGGTAAATTTTTTATTAAAGAATTCAGCTATTTCTTTTACGTCGCTAATGGTTTTATTTGAGAGTTTAATATCAGGAAAACTATTCTTGACTTTTTTACAACCTAGCTCTGATTTAACAACACACCACGCAGCCTTGCTCACATTTTCTGATTTGTTTATGAATTTAGCATTGCACATCCTTTTAGATTGATTACAAACTTTCTTGAAAACTGTTTTATACTTTCTAACATAATCCTTAAAGAGTCCGTCGTTTGATTTTTTTGCCAGTTTACTTAGTTCTCGTTTATTTATACTAGATATTTTAATACCCTTTGTTACCCAAGACTTCTTTTGATTCTTATTTTTGTTGTTGTAAAACTTTAAGGGGAAAGACTCTTCAAAAGTATTGTGAAAATGGCAAAAAAAGTTAATACAATTTTCTTCAAAACATTTTTTTACAGATACATCCCATTTTATTTCTTTAATATTATTTACAAAACTTGTGACATTGGCTTTTGAAAACATTCTTTTTTTAGTTGTTTTATCTGTTCTGTCCTTATTATCCTCAAATGAGCTATCAAAAATGTTTATAAACAAAGCCCTATGATCTGAAAGACCCAATTCTAAATTCATTGTCTGGACCATGGCCCCCACAAGGGTGGGGCTGGCGCAACTCTAGTCACAGGGCCCGGGCCCTCAGGGGGCCCGGGCCTACCCATTTGTTTTTTATTTTTTTCCCCATTGAAGATCACTTTACAGCTCATAAATTGAAGATAAAAAAATAATATTTAAATATTTTACAAAAAACAAAGTTAAATAATTTAAAATGTATTAATTCTTGATTCTAAGGAAGTTTATATTTAAATTCTATAGGTGCGTAGGTGCGTATGTACTATACAACAGCAGAACAGCCAGCTCGGGCCCCAGTGGCCGGCTCCACAAACTCCCTCTACCCCTTCCTCCCGCCAGGCGCCTAGCCACTCCTACCTCATTCCCCCCATAATAAACAAAGTTTGGTTTTATAATTGAACTGATAGTTTCAAGAATGAATCCTTATAGTTATAAGTTAAAATAAAATTTGTAAAGCATTGAAAAATTGACATGTACTATGTACCATAGCTAAGGTGACCAGACGTCCCGTTTTAGGGGGACTGGTCCGTCCCGACAAATCCTCTCGGGACGCTTATTTGTCCTGTTTTATCAACATTTGGTCCCGGTTGCACTTTTATGTATGGAATATTTCAATTAATAATTATTGCAATCTAGGTTATTTGACACAAACTTAAAAATTCTTTACTTTTGGAGTTTTAAAAATATGAAAGATTGTAGGCCTAATAATTTTGACCTAAGTTTTCTTCCCAATTTGCTCGGTATAATACTGTACTAAAGCATGGATTGGATAGCATCGGTCATTCTCGGCATTACTCGTTGCACATTTGTTTTTCTCCGTGACTACTCGGCGCAAGTTCGGCAGCTCAGGCATCCACTCCCAAAAAATGTAGTATTGTTAAAATTCTTGATGAAAATTGTCACTGAATAAAATATGATTTCATTGGTGTAAGCTGTTAAACTCAATTTACGTAAGTTTTTTCCTACTCCATATTACAAAGTACAATAATAGCAGTTAAGATAGCCAAACCCTCTTACAGGGAAATAAAAAGGACAAAATATTAATAGGCATGGAGCTTTTGTGTATTGATATAATAGTTTTAATTGCTGAATTCCTGTAATTTTAAGTCTTATAACACTCATTGAAGAACTCTTTTCTTCCTTAAAAAAGGCTGCAAAAGTGCCATTTACCACTCACAAATTTAATACCTAGATTGCCTTAAAAACTCACTAAAATACATGACATTTTCAACATTTTCCCGGGGGGGGACCCCCGGACCCCCCCTCTACGCTGGGGGGTTTTCCATACCCCCCCGACCCCCCGGTTGGTAGGGGGGCCCGAGCCAGATCCTGGTAACAGGGCCCACAATTAAATGTGGGGGCCATGGTCTGGACTGAATATTGTGAATTTATTTTTCTAGTTAAGATGTTATCTATGCAGGATTCAGTGTGTTGCGTAATTCGAGTCGGTGATGTAAAGTTAATTTTAAACCCATATTGATTTAACAGAGAAATAAAATCTTGTTTTTGATTTGGATGGCTACAGCCCTCCAACAGATCAATATTAAAATCCCCAGCTATGTATACATTTCTTATTTTTGTTGTTTTATTGAGCATTATAAATAACCTTTCTAACTTATTGAGAAAAGACTTAAAATTAGTTACATAAGGAGTCCTGTATATTGAAATTACAATAATTTTTAAAGTAAAAATCTCAATGCATGATGATTCAAAAATAGAATTTTCATTTAAAACACAGAAATCATCTCTTATAGTGTACTCAAAATAATCGTACACTGCCGTATTTCAAAATGTCAGTGTCTATAAAGATACAGTAAATGTTATTGTTTTTTGTTATCAATTCCACTTTTAACAGATAACTAGCCCAAAGTAATTAAAAGACAATTAAAACATCATGAAAAAATGTTTTTTATTAAACTGTACAATGGCCAGTTAAATGTTTATGATTTCGATCTTAAATATAAATGCCATCAGTATAAAAGAAAATAATAGAATATGAAAAATATTCAAAATTTAGTTTAATTGGTAATAAATAATTAAACCTCTACGAAATTAAGCTAAAATACACGCAAGTTCTTAAACACGGAAAACAGATTTAATTGTAATGTCGTAATAAACCAAAACCATTAATTAATACAGTCATCAACCATCGTAACTTTCATAATTAATTCATAGATTTTAAATTTAATGTTCGTCTTTGAACCGTCCAACTTACGTGTACACATATGATGACATAGACTAAGTTATTATCTAGGCCTAATAGTTTGAACCAAAGCATTGTAGGCCTACTAGTAAATAGTTGCCTAATTCTAAAATGTGTTGAATTTTTTAGCAATAATGTTACATGTTTTAAAACAGTTTTTAGATTGTACACCTAAGCACCACTAGTAAAAAATAGGAGAAGATATAATATTCATATAATAAAACGTGACAGGGTTATTTTAATTCACGATTTTTAATAAACTAATTGACGGATTTTCCTGATTTGAGTGTTGGGTTTCCTTTATATTGCTTTCACAAACGATATAAACTATAGCAAGCCATTGCTCGGTTCACTGTTCCCCAGTACTGAGCTACACAATAGACAATAGCTTTGTTTTTGGATAAGATAGAACCAGCCTGGAAAAAAAACTCCAGACTTTTAAAAAGTAAGCCTACTGAAAGACGTAAAATTAATATTAATTCAACAAAATTAAGAGGATGACCCGGGTTCTACACTAATAGCCTACGATAAAAGAAATTTACAAGTTGTATTTATGCATAGACCAACTTTTAATGCAATCCATGAATACATTAGGCCTACCACTTTATAATGTATTGATAAATATTTATTTAAATTCAATAGCTCTATTTAAAAATACGTAACCACTACAATGTAATTCTGTAATGACGTTTAACGTGTAAATTTTATTATGATTTATGATTTAAGGTTACTACAAGCCCAGTATATAAAATACGAACTCAAAAATTTTATTTGCAGAAGTTCACAAAATGGTATTTATTCGAATAAAAGAAACAAATGGCGGACTACGAAAATAGATATTTCATAACATGTAATAGATCCAAATTAAATGTGCATTTTTATCTTTTTCATACCAATAAGCTACTATTTAAGTAAGAAACCCACATATAAAACATACTCCCTTATATTAGTACATTTCTAATCCTTATGGATCATCTGAAGACAGTTGTATTGTTAGTTCTGTCCGGTGCACTGTCTTTAGAGGTCGTGTTTTGTTTACAATTGTTTCTTGTTTTCAGTAATTTAAAACCTCGTTTAACCAAATAAAACGTTCTAATCACAACTAATAACACGTCCCCTAGTTATATAGCCAAACAGTAAGGAACAAATCATGAAGTTAACTATAAAATGATAGAAACACAATTTTGTCGACACTAGCGATCAGTGTCACCGGACATGAACTAGACACGAAAAACGAGCTTCAAAGTTTACAAAGGGATGTAAAGTTTACTTGTGTTGGTTAGTCTATGGTAAGACTATAATGCATTTTCCACCCTAATAACCATAAGAATAATGTTAAACATACTTCCAAATATATTTATTTTATCGACTACGTTGTTCTTACTCCTAATTAATCGTAGGATACGACATTATGGTACCGATACGATATAGGTAGTACACTTTCGGCAACACTGGCCAAAAATATTCGTGCTTGGCTCCCATTGGACGGCCCGCGAGGCTTCTGATTGGGAGTTAGCGAGTTCCGCCGAGGGACCGAGTTAGCGACTTCCGTACGAGGACGGAATTCGCTAACCCGGCTTTAGAGCGGGTTAGCGGGTTCCGGAGTTAGCCAATTCCGAAACCGAACAAGTTAGCGAGTTCCTCTCATCGACCAAATTTGAAGATAGGGCATTTAACATGGGGTTAGCGAGTTCCAGAGTTAGCCAATTCCGCGGACCCGAAAATGCCTGTATATCTTCAATGAAAGGTATACTTCATCAGTCAACAGATACAAAATAATCATTGTTAACTCACTGTTCGATGTCTTCCCCCAACCAGAGACAGTGAAGTTATTCTTATTGTCCGAGTCAGCTGTCAGTTCATTAGAACAGCTGGGCAGTTTGACAGTGCAAATGTATTCTGAAAACAATCATTTACATTATACATTGACTATACATACACAAGTACAATGATACTCAAGTAATGGGGTTAAGAAGATTAAACTTAGTTTAACCTGATTCCCCAACAGAGTGCACTTCTGTAAAAAAGTATAATTCTTAGCCTAAATATACCTTGTAATCATTTAAATCTCTCTTGTCTCACTATGAAATTAAGAGGAAATAGATCCTCAATCGAACACATTCTGCAATAATTGACAATACCCTTAAAATACTGTTCCCTTTAGAGTTAAAAACTGGGGTAGGTAATCGATATAGATATGATGTTTTCTTCAGTATCCAGTGAAAATTATCGTACCAAGATGGCTGGAAGGTAAAAGTAAACGGATATTCTTTAGTAAATTTGTATGTAGTAGTATAAGTCCGAAAGTACACCAGATAAAATGTTCATAACTAACCATTGAGTGTGACTGCTCTCGGAAGTTTGACAATGCCAATGTCATTGTGGATGCTGTTTGAATCGTACTTCTCGTGGTATTGCAGACCGGAAGAGTAAACCCTAATTACTTGTCGCCCAGGCTCGTAATACTGGCTCAGGTCTAAGCCTCCTAGAACTGCCACAGCTGACTTTGCCCTGAAAATGTTGAGTTATAATTTAATTTAACTGTCTTGAGTGTAAACATAAACATTACGCAAATGCTTTATTATAAATTAATAGAACATCTGTTTTGGTTTGCTGGGTGTTGCCACTTTAGTTTTGCCGCCGCTTTGTAGTAGAGAAGAAAAAGCTATTTTTCTGTAAATCTTTGTACTTTATACTTTACTTTATATTTTCTTATGAAATGGTGACCATACAATGTAGGTATTTTAAGCCAAGTATGAATGGAGATGAGTGTAGGTTGAGTGGCGCGATCTTGTAGTCTTGTTAGTGACTAAGGTCGACATTCCTTAGACACAGCTGTTAATTAATAGCCTAAACAGCTAATGGCAACTAAGGGACCTACAGTTTATAGTGGAATCCGAACCACATTTTTCCTTGGTATATACGAATTGGTCTAATTATCAGGTACTCACTAGTGCGGACGTTAATCTGTAGTAATTGACTAGAGAGAAAATAACTTGTTCTTCCTGTTGGTGAAAACTATACAACTTTGATTGAATGCTTGACAAATGAAGAATAATTTAGTGTTATTGTATGTATAGCTTGACAACACTTCCTTTAACAATGATGTGTCGTTTACTTTAATTTTGATAGCAGTTAAATAAGTTTGGTCAGATTAAAATAGCAGGAAGCAAGTTTTATTCCTAATAAACATAGATGCTATCTAAGAGATCATGGATACATTTCCTATAATTACTCCATAGTTATTCCTCAGAAGAGTCAGTAAAGCGGTGTTTACACTGTCGTGGCGCCACATCCATAACAGGCGTGGCCGCCGTGGAGCCACGTTACCGTCCCACGGCCACAAGCAGGCGTGTAGTGTAAACAGTTTTCTGGTAAAAGCGTATCCATTATAGGCGTGTTCATTTTTATTTACGGGTGCGTTATGGATTGTGCCAAAAGATTAATTATTGAAGGTTGTGCTACAATGAGTGTTATTTTAGCTGATGAAATAGCTCGGCATTTAAGTGTTATTAAAAAAAAAAAAACCAAGCTGTAGCTTTTAATATTTATATCGAATAAACAAGGTTCACTTTGATACAGTTCAAGCATTCGAATTGTTTGAACTTCCGTAAATTTTAAAGATTGCTTTGTTTTCTCCGGTTTTAATTGATTCGACTTGTGTCAATGTTATAGACTTTTTTTTGTTTTCCGTCATGGTACTTAAAAACTAAGACGAAAACCACTGACTTTAAAGAATAATAGTTAAAACTCGTAGTACACTCAACGGCGAGACGAAAGACAATGACTCCTCACCTTGTCTAGCCACGCCTGCAACAGGCGTATTGGGTTGCCACGTCTGTTGCTCTCACGTCTTCACTGTTTACACGAAGCGTGGCCACGCTTGTCAAGAAAGTGAGAAAATTTCTCACCTACACGCCTGACTTAAGCCGTGGCGCCACGACAGTGTAAACACCGCTTAAGGTGTCCTACCCCTGGACGCAATGTGCTGCTGTGAGGATGGTCTGAGACGAGACCAGAGATCCACCGCAAGACCAGCTGTTGCGGCCGTCACTGAACTGTAGATACACCTGGTAGCAGAACTGTCCTCTCACTGCGGCCTGGCCGTTCACGATCTTCAGTGAGTGACGGGCTACACAAACATGCAACATACTTATGTGTGTAGAATCTTTGACTCAAGAACATTTCCAAACTCGCCTGCGGCTCGTGCGTTAACATTTCTTTTAAGTGCAGCAAAGTGCCACTTTGCTCACTAGTTACCCAAATAACTATTGATTGCATAAAAATCAATTAGAATAATCTTTTGTTTTTGCACTATTTATACTTAAAAATTAAATGATAACTTAAAAATCTTACTTACCTTCATTGGATGTTAGATTTACAGCATCAAGAAAAATATTTCTAGATGGAGTAGAAGATATATCAAACACTGGTTTCCTTCCAATCTATAATAGTTGAAAATATAAAATAGTTACAGTTAAATCTGGCAACTATACTTTTATAGTAAATCACTTTTCCTAATATAAAAATAAAACACCAAGAAACAACTCAAATTTCAAAGTTTTAGTCATTAACTTGTAATAAGTTACATGATATTTGAAATGACATGTGACTAGAAACCCATCGCGACAAAAATAAGAGGCAATAGTTAATAGTTTGGGGATTTGTAGAATGTTGCGACATAGAAAGGACGTACTAAATACAGTATAAACAAAACTTCCTATAATTAGTATAATTTAAGTTTGATGTATAAATAATACATAATATGCCAAAATGCATTTTCAAAAATACTGAACAGTGAACATATAGTAGGTCTAATAAGAAAAATGAATACCTCTACAGCTTTTGAAGACTGAATAAACCCAAAGCACAAAAGAGTTGTGAAGAAAAACAACATGGTTGGTAAGTTGATGAGCGTCTTACACAAATTGGCAGAAAAAGACCTTGTTTTGGTTAATTTGCAACTAAACAAGTAGAAGAAGCAAAATCTCCATGGCTTATTGCTATCTACATTGTAAACCATCATAATCTCATAAGTACCTAAATAATTCCTAGAAGTCAAGGTCTAATAGCAAACTATACTGTTTTCTCCGAATAAACTTTTGAAAATACAACTTTGGATAAGACTGAAATACTTTTAAATAAATATTTTCTTAAATACTTTGATGCAAGAGCAAAGTACACATCAGTTATTACACACATCAGAAATATTAAGTGAGTCTTTCAACAATTACCAAAAAACCGGAATTTGTAATTCTGGTAAATATTTTAATAATCAATTACAACAAATAGAATAATAAGTAAATCTTTCAAGGATAATCAATAATGTCTGGAATATAAAACGCTGAATAGTTTTAAATATGTACATCAAATCAAAATACTGCACCCTTTAAAAATTTTAATTTGTTGAACGTTCTGTTTCACTCATTTCTTATATTTAAATTTTTAATGATTTCATTATGTGTTTGTATTTGTAACAGTTTTTTCAAATTCTTTTGTGATGTGCTGCAATTAATTTCTATTTCATAGAATATGACATTTTACAAGTGAGTGGTCTATCATTTTCAAAACTGGTTTTTCACAATGAAGACATTGACCTCAAAACAAAGACGCCTGAATTAGTGTTTTTGGCCAAAAAACTTATGTGTTAATATGCCAATTTAGATGTTCATCAATTATCTAAAAAAAATTGGTCGATTTCAGTTGATTGATTGGGTTTGTTATTTAGAGTAGCTTTGGGATCAGGTCTTTAAAAGTTTTCATGAAAGACAATTAGATTTTTCACTTTTCAGGTGCCATTTTCAAAAGTGTAACTATACCGACTTTTCTGTTGAATTTAGGTAAGGACACATTGCCATTCATTAAAATCTATACTATTATAAAAAAGAGGTGGTGTCTGTGTGTATGGGAAAAGTAAACGCGAAAACTACTGGTCGGATCGGGCTGAAATTCGGCATGATGATAGCTCATATTCCCGATTAACATATAGGCATATTTTTATCCCAAAAATCCTTCCGGGCTCCGCCCCAGTGGCTCTGGAGCAAAGGTTCCCATGTTAACCTTATGAGAAATGGAATTAATGAATCTTAACAGCTGTTTCAATTAAACAAGTTGGTTCTGTTCTATGATTTTCAATAGCATTAAAGTTACAAGGATTACCAACAGGGTGCAGCACTAGCATTATTTCTTTTACATTTATGACAACAGCTAATTTGCAACCAAAAGGTGAGTGAGCGTAGCGAACGAGCTAACCTGAAGGCAAGTGAGCGTAGCGAACGAGCTAACCTGAAGGAAAGTGAGCGCAGCGAACGAGCTCCAACCTAAAGGTGAGTGAGCGTAGCGAACGAACTTCAAAAAGAACCGAAATTTCTTAAACCATGTCCTCACTCATAACTGCTATAAGCATTTGATACTTATATGCCAACCCCGTACGAAGGACGGGTACTCTGCTAGTAAATAATAAATAATTTGATACTTGAAAAATATACTAGGTTAAGAAGAGGTTACTGTAAGCGTGGATTGAGCCAACACTGACGATTTTTCTCAACAATCGCAGTTTCCTGATGAGTTTCCTAAAAGCCTTAAAGAGAGTGGTGACCCACAACACCAGATAAGTCTTAAACTTGACAATTTTGTGATACTAATGCTGAGTTTTAAAACAGGAAAAGGCATCACTGATGAAACTCCAATGAAAGTTACTGTATAGAAAATAGCATCCAGTGCGAATTTCAATAAGAGCTGAGTCAAGGTTAGCCAATTTTAATTACCTACTACAATTTAATCTCCATCCCACATTTCTAAGACTAATAAAGATGTAAAACAATCAAGTCACAATAATTTGTTATTACTAACTCATTCTTTTAATTTTTCTATTTTCTTTTCTTTTAACTTAACATTGTAAATCTTTTTCTTCCTATTGTTGCCTTTTGTTTTTTTCAAAGTTCTTATTTGATGTTGTCACCCTTTGTTACTTCTTTTGTTTTCTAAATTTATTTGTTTTATTAAACGTTTAGTCACACCTGTAACAGTCTTATGTCTCTTACACCCTTTCACCTCTCTACAACAGCTAAGCGAGTGCAACTTAAAAAAACCTTATTTTAAGAGGGGCATGGGACTCGCACTATACAAGAAGAAAAGAGGCATCTGCTATTTTCACGTGAATCTCTAAACACTGGTTTCCCTAGTAACTAACTAATACTATTCTGGGGTTCAAACATTCATAGTAAAGTTGTAAGCATATATTTTGTGTTATTAGTGTTCTCAGGATCACAATCCAAAACCTTTTGGGCCATTCAAGATGATTTTTGAAGAATTGTCTATTAGGGTTGGGACAACCTTGGGAAACATATTCTGCTTCATGGTGAATCCTCGCACATTGAATGCTTTCAAGATGCCGATCTTGTTGACTTTGGCGTTACGTGGTTTGGCCTGGATATGTGGCAGAGATGCTTGGATACGTAGAATAGAAACGACAATCTATCACGCCATCAACCTCGATGATTTCTGATGTGAAAATCCCTGTATAATGTTTATACTAGAATACATGGTTTGGTTTGCATACAGTAACATTTTTCTAAATTTTGTTCCTTTAGTCTATTACGGAAACATGTGTAGGTCTAGTCAGGCTATTGTTCGGAAACTGTTTGTAGTGTATAACTAATCTATAATGGAATTAAACATTTCTATTGTGCGGAAATCCGAATTCGTATTGCCATTGATCAAATTGATTGAGGAAGGCTTAGTCAGTTGAAATATCATTGCCTTAATGCTTCCTTTTTTGTGAAAAGTTTTATCTGTTCACATGGTTTATAGTACTGATAGTGGAGTGTAATTTGTGAAGATCTGCGGATGGTAAAACTATTGTAGTGGATGAATACAAGCTCTAAATCAAATTAAGCCAACTAATTTTGAGTTAAATTTGCAGGTTAAGAAATCCATAATTAAGTTTTTTACTCTAATTGCCTACAGATGTGATCTTAGTGTCAAATATTTTCACATGTGTTGATTCCACTAATTTTACTAATAAAAGTTCACATTTTGTATAAGAAAATATAAAGTAAGTTTTTATTAAATCACAATCTGTAAGTAAACATAAACAATTCAACAAGTAAACAAAAGAATAATTTGAACACATGTTAGAAATAAAATGTAAATAAAACATATGTTAACACCTCCTCCTCTATTTACTGTGCTGAGGCACTCTGCGAAGAATCAGCTGATCAACATGTCTTCTAGTTATTCGCCCATCTTCCAGCTGAACTACGTACATTACATGTCCTTGCTTTTCAGTTATATAGCCCGAGTACCACTTGGATGATCCATTGACATATACCCGCGCTTGAACCTTATCTCCAACTTTGAAATTCCTTTTTATACCGACTTGGAGTCCCTTGTTCTGAAATTTGTTCGGTTCTAATGTTGGAACAATTATTGCGAGGTTTGTTCGTACACTCCTTCCAAACATTAAGTGGTACCAGTTGAATTCGGGGATTGCCTGAGTTGCATTACAAGCCTTTGGATTTTATTTGGCAGTGTACCCTTTTCTCCCTCCATGGATTTTAACGCCTTCTTGACAGTCTGCACGTATCTTTCAGCCTGGCCGTTTGAGTTTGGGTGATATGGTGCCGTTGTTCTGTGAACAATCCCACATTCATTCATGAAGTTTTTGAACTCTTGGGAAACAAACTGTCTTCCATTATCTGAAACTAAGATTTGAGGAAACCCAAAAGTTGAAAAGATTTTCCGTAATTCTTGGACTGTCCATGTACTTGTAGTTGTTCTTGTCTGTATCACCTCCACCCACTTACTAAAAGCATCCACTAATATGAGGCACTGTTGGCCATCTGTTGGTCCTAAGAAATCGATGTGCACTCTCTCCCATGGATTAGTAGGTTGTTCCCATGGATGGATAGTTTTTCTCGGGTTGTTGCATTGTTCAATGCATTGTCGACATTCAGCTACCATCTGTTCAATATCCTTGTCTATACTTTTCCACCAGCAAAAACTGCGAGCTAAAGCCTTCATTTTTATTTCTCCTAAATGAGCTACGTGTAATTCTCGAAGCACGTGAGGTTTGAGGGATTGAGGTATCATGACTCTCCAGCCCTTCAGTACACAATCATCTTGAATGGACAGTTCGTTATCGTGAAATCCATATTGTTCGACAGATTGTCCTGATTTTAAGGCCTGTAGGACTGGACCCAACACAGAATCGTTGATAGTTTCCTTAGCCACCACGTTACTGTTGACATTAAGTGTTTCTAGTTGGTTTATGTGGTACTTAGAGAGGTCATCTATTGCATTTTCTTGTACAACTTCGGTAGGGAAACGTGAGAGATAATCTGCATTGCTATGATGAGCAGTTTGCCTGTACTCTATGTCATAGTTGAACCCGGAGAGAAAGTGAGCATAGTTGAATATCCGTGTTGCCGAGATTGTTGGTAAGGTCTTTGCTGGATTAAAAATTGAGACTAGCGGTTTGTGGTCTGTAATCAAAGTAAACTTGCGGCCATAACAAAATGGGAAAAACTTTTTCAGGCCCCAATATATTCCCAAGGCTTCCTTGTCGATTTGAGAGTATTTTTGCTCTGATTTTGTTAAAGATCGAGAGGCGAAGGCAATTGGTCTGTCCGTTCCATTGCTATAGCGGTGAGACAGAACGGCTCCCACACCTACCGGTGAAGCATCAGTAGCTAAGACCAGAGGTAAGCTAGGATCAAAGTGAACCAAAACGTCGTCACTTGTGATAATTTCCTTAATCTTCTGAAAACTCTTTTCACAAGATGAATTCCAATTGAAAGGATTTCCTTTTCGTAGCAGTAGGTTCATCGGATGTAGTAGTGTTGCCAAATTCTTTATGAATTTGTTGTAATAATTTGCTAGGCCCAGGAAAGTTCGGAGTTCAGAAACGTTTTCTGGCCTTTTACATTTCAGAATGCTCTGTATCTTGGTATCTGACTTATGTAGCCCTTTGCTATCGATCACATGACCTAAATACTCAATTTTTGTCTGGAAAAACTTGCATTTGTCTCTATTTATCCTCAAATCGTTTGTCTTCAGTCGTTCGAACACCTGTTTCAGTCGGCGAAGAAGCTGTTCCCGGTTAGATCCTTGGATAATGACATCATCGAAGAAACATTGTACACCTTCTAAGCCATGTAATGTTTTGTCCATGAATCTCTGCCATAACAAGGGTGCCACTTTTACTCCAAACATTAATCGGTTCACCTTAAACAGCCCTTTATGAGTACTGATTGTTTGCATTATGGCACTGTTTTCGTCCATCTCCAGGTGCAAGTATGCATTACTGATATCAAGAGTACAAAATATCTTTCCACAATGCATCTTTGACATGATATCGTTGATCCGAGGTATAGGGTAGTGTTCGTCTTTGATGACTTTGTTCAATGTCACCTTATAATCAGCGCATATTCTGACTGAACCATTTGGTTTGACGACCGGAACAATTGGTGTGCCCCAATCAGATGATTCGACTTGTGTGATTATACCCAAAGTTTCCAGTCGTTCAAGTTCTTTCTCTACTTTTTCTTGTAATGCATATGGCATGTGTCTTGGTTTGATGTAAATTGGCTGGGTTTCGTCTTTTACATTAAAATGTCCCTTTTCGTTTGGTATTTTCCTAATGCCTTCTTTGAAAATGCATTCGTATTGAATCATCAGATTATCTAGTTCTTGAATGTTTTCATTTGTTTCACTTGAATCTAATGAATGTATGTCAGCTGCATCAAGCTGAATCTCTCTTATCCATTCTCTTCCGAATATAGAGTCTACACACTTGTTTACAATGTACAGTTTTCCAACAAAACTTTGATCTTTGTAGGCCTACTGAACATCTACAAAAACAACTCCTCTTGGATTGATTATTTCTCCAGTGTATGTCCTGAGTTGAACATTTGTTTTGAAAATCCTTTTTGGAGAATTTAAAAGTTTAAATGTATCATATGATACATTGCTGAGAGCCGCTCCTGTATCTAATTCCATTGTCATGTGTCGTCCTTCCACTTTTACCTCGAGCATAAACTTGTCATTTGATTTTGAATGAAGTTGGTAAATTTCATGAGTGTCATCACTTGTATTTTCTACGGTTTCATCTGATTGTTTTACTTCCTTGTTTGGTTTCCTTAAGCACACTCTTGCTAAGTGACCAAAACGTTTACACGAGTTGCATTCTGCATTTTTGAACTTACATTGATGAGCTCTATGTGAATCATGACCACATCTATAGCACTTGTTCTTCAGTTTCTCAAAACGAGATTGATAATCAGAGAGTTGTATATGATTAGATTTACTTGACTTACTATCCAGGTGTTTGTTCTTGCTCGATACTTGGTGTACTTCCTCTCGATTTTCATTTGTCTTAACTATTCTGCTCTCACTTTTCGCTAGTTCCAATGTAGCTGCCTTCTCGACTACTTCTTTAAACGGTTGCAATAGTTTATCTTGAAGAAGATGAAGACGTATATCAGAGTCTCTTAGTCCCCTGACAAACTGCATTCGAAGTAGAATTTCAGATACGGATTCATTACAATGTGTACAAGTAAACTGGCATTCGACACTGAGCTTTCGAAGAGCATTTGCGTAAGCTTGTACAGATTCATTACAGAGTTGAGTACGTGTTGTGAATTTGTGCTGACGTGCCCAAATACTGGGTTTTGGTTCTAGTTGTGCCATTAACAGATGAATCAATTCCTCATATGGCTTGTTATGTGGATCATCTGGTATGCAAAGATCGTAGAGCTGTTCGTGTATTTGTGGGGTGATTGATTGTAAAAATAAATCCACTTTGACCTTTGGACTTAAGTTTCCCCGTAATTTTGTGTACGGTAGTTTTCAAAGCGCCGAGTGAAGTTTTGAAAACTTTCCTCTTGTGTATATGGCTGGAAAGGAATATTAGATACATGTTGAGATATTGTAGATGCAGACATAGCAGTTTGTGTACTGTACTTTTTCTTTTCTGCTTCAAGGATGTTCGTATCTCTCTATGTATTTCTTCTAACTGCCATCGAATTTCTAATTCACTTTCTACTGAATTCGTGTGAAGTTCAATATTTGACTGTGTAGCTTCGAGGTCAGTCCATATTGCTGAAAGCTTATCGGTATAGTAAGTGCATGTATCTTGAGAATGTTCACATGTATGTAAATCATCCTTGAGTTTGTTCAAGCGTAGTTCTAGCAATTTCCTTTTCTTGAGATACAAATCCAATTCTTTTCTACTTACCATTTTACTCGTCGCCATTGTTGATTCCACTAATTTTACTAATAAAAGTTCACATTTTGTATAAGAAAATATAAAGTAAGTTTTTATTAAATCACAATCTGTAAGTAAACATAAACAATTCAACAAGTAAACAAAAGAATAATTTGAACACATGTTAGAAATAAAATGTAAATAAAACATATGTTAACAACATGTTTATAAACAATATAATCATGTTTGCTGAAAGGAACATAAAATTACAGTATCTTGAACATTCTACCCCTACAGGACAGGGAGTAATTTGATGACTCTTTTAAAATACATACAAATTCTTTTATTTATGTTTAAATTACATATTTTAATCACTGAACAATAAAAACTAATCTACAACTGTCATTAAAGTTTTCCAGTGAACAATGTTTTATTTCAATTAATAATTACAAGATCAATAAATCTAGATTTGCAAATGTTACTAAAATTTTGGATTCTTTCGATTTCAATATATATGTTGAATGCCTGCTCCATCTTCAAATTCTCAAGCAGATCTTTATTTTATTTCCATTAAAGTTGTTAATGCAAAATTTCAGCACCCAATACTTTTTGTGTGTTGTTACAGGGAATACTATAATAATATAAGAGATAATAAACAAAAATAGAATTTAATATATGTAAATCAGGTACTGTAATTGTGTAATGTAACTCAGTTACTCATATAAGAATTTATAAGCATTTTTCTCTCTTAAATTCTACATTGTACCATACCAATGAGACTTTTATACAGGTATAACAATCTTAAGTCAAAAATGTTTGTGAGAGCTTTTTGGATGCTGTAGTAAGGAAGTTCCTATAAGTTTGATTTTTTATCTGTATATACAGGCTTGAGGAAGTAAGTAATGAATTCTGCTTAGTGCTAACTCTGTGCTAAACAGTTACTGTACAGTTAGAAGAATGATTAACACTTTGTTGCCGCTTCAAGTGTTACCGCTACTTACAGCATAGTTCCCAAAATGCCTAAGGCAATCTTACTTTGTATTTCGATATTCTTTATATCAACAATTCAAGAAACTATTACTTTGTCTCCAGTTTCAGAAAATCAACTTATTACAAATGCTTCAAATCATCGGCAATCAAGAGGTAACTTAATTTGTTCGATTAAGTGTAAGCTAGTAACTTATTATAAAAAGATTGCTAAATGATTAAAAAAATTTTAGAATGTAAAGCAGATGAAGTTAAAAGCTATATTTACTCTTATAATGGATACATACCTAATTATGATGTCAATTGTGCAATGTATGTTTCTAATCTTATTTTGTAAATTCTGAAGCTGATTTTTGAGTGTGTTTAATTTTTGTTACGTTCGAGAGCACTGATATTGACTAAATGTCTTATTTTAAGGTAGTTTCAACTAAATGTATTTCATGATTTGGCTATAATACCAGACAAAAAGCAACCTATAGCTTACAAATAGTGTATTTAGTTAAATTATTTAATTGTTTTGACAGACTTTAAATTATAAGAAAAAACTGTAAACAAGAAAACACATTTTATTTGAATATAAACAGTCTTCTATTGATCCATAAAATCTGTGAGGATTTGCTTGATCTAATTCTAGCGCTAAGCGTAAAAAAACATCACTTCTGTGATAATTTACTACACATTTATGCACTAAATAATAAATCAACTCAGGAGGAAAATATCTGTTAGATTGTTTTGTCTTGTAAACGTTGCAGTTTTCTTCCTGTTCCCATTGTTCACGCCGTTCCGTCGCAAGTCTTGCTACGCAGGGACGTCACTCAGTCAGGTTGGGGTGTGCTACACAGCCTACCAGTGTACGCTGCGCGGCGGCGTCGCATCCGGCACCTGCGCTAACGGTCGGGGAGTGTGCTGTGTGTGTGAGTATGGTTGAAATACATTCTTGGTTCAACACAGAGGCTATTGCTAGATATACAGGGTGAATTTTAAATGAGTTCCCCCCCTACTTTTTTCTACATTTCTTAAGATATCAACTTCGGACCACGTAAGATCATTGTAGTGTAGTAAGTACTTCATTTTGACTGGATAAACATTTTTGGCCGCCATCTTGGATCCACCATATTGGATACAAATTTTTTTTTTCAAATGTAAAGGTAGGGTTGTGACCCATTGTTTCAAACTAGAATTTTACGCTGATTACAATGCCGCAATTAGTTTTAAAAAATCTTGATCCGTTCTAAAGTTATGAGGACTTTTTATAACTTTATTTTTAGCCCATTTTAACATTGTGCATTTACAAACTAAGACCATAATCTCAAAATAGTGCTAGATAAAGATAAGTATACACCACCATTTATTGTCGACCTATTATCACTTGGTTATGACGGATGTATTTTTTTGGCCGCCATCTTGGATCTGCCATTTTGAAATGTGATAAATTAATTTAAATATGAAGGTGGTGTTGTGACCCATCATTTCAGACTACTTTTTTATGCTAAATTCAATGCCGCAATCCGTTTTGCATTTTCATATTTGTTTTTTGAAATATTGGAAATTTAAGTAAGATAATTTTAATATTTCATCAAGAAAGCCTGAGAAACAAAAACGGATTGCGGCATTTAATTCAGCATAAAAAAGTAGTCTGAAATGATGGGTCACAATACCACCTTCATATTTAAATTAATTTATCACATTTCAAAATGGCAGATCCAAGATGGCGGCCAAAAAAATACATCCGTCATAACCAAGTGATAATAGGTCGACAATAAATGGTGGTGTATACTTATCTTTATATAGCACTATTTTGAGATTATGGTCTTAGTTTGTAAATGCACAATGTTAAAATGGGCTAAAAATAAAGTTATAAAGAGTCCTCATAACTTTAGAACGGATCAAGATTTTTGAAAACTAATTGCGGCATTGTAATCAGCGTAAAATTCTAGTTTGAAACAATGGGTCACAACCCTACCTTTACATTTGAAAAAAAAATTTTATATCCAATATGGCGGATCCAAGATGGCGGCCAAAAATGTTTATCCAGTCAAAATGAAGTACTTACTACAATAGAATGATCTGACGTGGTTCGAAGTTGATATCTTAAGAAATGTAGGAAAAAGTAGGGGGGGAACTCATTTAAAATTCACCCTGTATAGGATTATCATAGATAAAAAGCTTCCAGTCACTCTTGACTACTTCGGTAGAGGTAAAACCTGTGTGACACAGTTTTACTCCAAAGACCACAATATAAAAAAGTATCTTTGTCTAGTGATGCTTCTATAGATACGTTGATATCAGTTACACAATAAATATCCATAACAACTAAGCTGTTCCATTAGGTTGTGTACCACTGTCAAGATTTGATCATTCCACCAGAATC